TATAAATTTATATATATATGAAGATATATATGTTAAAACTATAAATATAAATATAAATATATATATATATATATATTATGAACCATATTTAAAGAAATCATGAGATCTGAGAAGAGTAACTTTTTTGTTCATAAATTATACAAAAAAAAATTAAAATTATTGTAAATAATTTTAATTTTAACTATCTATTTTAAGTATATGGTTGAAGTTTATTCCTTTCAAACTCTCATCTCTCACCCAATTCACATTTTATGTTTAGGGAATATCAGTTCAAATGTAAAGTTCGGAAAATAAATCAAACTTATTTAAGATAAAGTCCAACTTGATATGACTCATGTTGATCCTTACTAAAAGCATGTCTACAAAAATAATAATTTCTAAACACAAATTGGAAGAATCTTATAGACTTTAATTTATATATATTCTTGGTAAAAAGAATTTAAAAAAAAAAAAGATTTGTACACAAACATCTAATAGCAATTTATTTTATTATCACATCATATTAATAAATAAAATAATGTAATATAAATTGATTAGTTCTTATTGGATGTAAAAATGTTTTAAACTTACAATACATACAAACTAAATTCATATTTATATTTATTTGCAGTTCAATTTGGCTTATGTTAGTCAAATTTTATACTATCAAAATTTTGTGTTTACAAATCATTTAATAAATGTATTATATCAACAATTACTTAAAATATAAACTTTATTAGTAGATATTGTAATATACAAATATATTTTTATTATACTTATAATACATTAAAACTATGGCTAATTACTTAAGTTTTAAAATTATAATTTTAAAATCATGTAAAAAAAATTAAGAAGTTATTCGTTATATACATACAGAAATACTTGAATAGTATATTTTTTTCAGCCAATTTTTTTTTAAGTTCTTAAACAAACATGTTCTATTAATCTATTAATTCGTTAAAAATGAGAAACACACTACTCAATTGCTCAATACGAGGAATAAACTATGGCATGAAATGATATGAAAATATGGCAATTTTCGCACGAGTTTTGATTGTTTGGTTATGGCTCAGGGTAAGTTCATGTCATGCCACCATATGATGCTTGTTGCATTTTTCATAGCGGAAAAACACGCACAACGCTTCGACATGTCTGTTGAATAAGATTGGCCATCTCAATATAAAACTAAAATTAATTTAACTATGTTTACATAGTCTAAAAAAGATATTTAAATAGAAGAGAATAATATTTCTTTCTTCCGCTGAAGGAGTGAAGAGAGACAGAAGCATAATAGGGTTTATAGATCCAAGCAACCTATAATATAAAAATTCAACATGTAAATGCCGGGCACTCCAATAAAGTTATACCCCATTGGTCTGTGCCTGTCACTTGCAAACTTTTTCCAATTTTTAATCAATAATGGCCCCATCCTTAGATTGGGTACATGCAAGGGAGGTCGTAAGTGGGGATGAACTTCAACTTATATCTATCAGTTGACTTCTCTCTCTTATTTCTCACACCACCATATACATATGTTATATATCTATTAACAAGTCGTTCATTCTAGTGAAGGGGTCTTTTTCTAAAAAATCTCAGTTTAAATCTCATTCGTTAATTTTAGTAAATTAAATTCAATCATTTAAAAAAAAATCATGTACATTAATTAAGTCTAGCGTTAACGCAATTAAAAAAATTATTAAAGACAATCAACGTAATTTTTTAGTAAAGATTAATTATTGACAAAATAGTAAATACTTTGTATGGATAACATAATAAAGTATATTCATATTATAATATGCTTTGTTTGTATGACCTCATATAATGGAAACTAAGCACATATGCTCTCGATATATAATAACTTTACTTCTTTCAAAGCAAGGAAACTCAGAAGGGAGAATCAATCTTTAGAGAACAGCTTGGTGCTAGTAATGATTTCAAGGGCCACATCTAGCTTCAAAAGTGTCCATGAAGGGCTTCAGATGTTCCCTGAACCACCCCAAGATTTGGTGTTACCCTCTCTGGAAACAAACTCTAGCTCAGCCTCAGCCTCGGCCTCAACCTCAGCCTCAGGTTCGCAATCTAGTTCCCTCCTCTTCAATCTCTCTATTCTGAAGGACAAACTCAGTGAGGTTCAGACCCTGGTAAGTGTTATTCTCTCCCCAAATCAATGCCTACCCGAGTCAACTTCCATGGCCATATCCAGCATGAACTCCACAATCCACGAAATCATAGTCACTGCCACATCAATGATGTTCACCTGCCAACACATGGCTCTCACCACCCTTCCAGGTACTAATAGTAATACTACTACATGCACAAACAAATTGCACCACCAGAACAAGTTATTGCCTCACTCAAATAATTTTGGCACAAATACAAGTGTCCTTGGTAATAACACAGACACAAATATTATTGACCCTAATCAGGGTTTGTTTTCTAGTACTGAGTCAGATGCACTAGACTGGTTTACTGAAAGCTATGACAACAACCATGATAATAGCAATATTAGTAGGATTAAGGAGGATGATCCTAGCGTTTCAATTAGTGAAAACAATAGAGGGCTTTCAGCAAATAATAGCGACATAATTGAATTGGATGCTGCGGATTTGTTGGCTAAGTACACACACTATTGCCAAGTTTGTGGCAAAGGGTTCAAGCGTGATGCAAATTTGAGGATGCACATGAGGGCTCATGGGGACGAGTACAAGACCAATGCTGCATTGAGTAACCCAATGAAGAGTTTGGAAGGTGGAAAAGATCAGTGTTTGATGAGTGTGAAAGCAAAGAGATATTCGTGCCCTCAAGAAGGGTGTAGGTGGAACCAAAGGCATGCCAAGTTTCAGCCACTGAAGTCCATGATTTGTGCCAAGAACCATTACAAGAGGAGCCATTGCCCCAAAATGTACGTGTGCAAGAGGTGCAACCAGAAGCAGTTCTCGGTGCTTTCTGATCTGAGGACACATGAGAAGCACTGTGGGGATCTCAAGTGGCAGTGCACGTGTGGCACCTCGTTTTCTAGGAAAGATAAGCTTATGGGGCATGTTGCTTTGTTCGTGGGGCACCAACCTGCTATCATCAACAATGGTTTGTCATATTCTGCCAAATTAATTGGAGCACCACGTACACATTGATGGTAGCTCAAGATGATTTTTATGTCTTCATATGATTCATAAAGAGGTACTCCTCTAGCTTTACATAAATAATATATACATAGTTCTATTAAAGATAAATTTCTCTAAATATTTATAAGAAAAATAAGTTAAAATAAATTAGGTTTAATTATGTTTTTTATCACTTATATGTGTTACAATTTCGTGAATTTTGTTGTTCAATTTTCAAAATTGCACATTTTATAATCAAATTTTCTACATCTTGTTACTTTATTTCTTAATCGTTTAACATCATTATGTTTATTGTTACATTAATTATTAGCATAACATAATAATAGCATCTCAATAGTTAATATATCACATTAATAATCAATTAATAACACTAAATTAGAATTCATGATACCAATGTAGAAATTTCATGCATAAATTATTGTGTATTTACACTTCACACACACATATATAAATTTAGGTGCAGCTTCAATGTATATTTGTAGCAGTTGGGCTTGTCTGCATGCCATTGCCTTGAAGATATCTCTGGTCTCGCTATACAGTTTGAGTGGCGCTGGCTCGGTGGCGGATTTTTGGATCATGGAATGGAGGCTATTTTGTCTTGCACTTCCTCACCACTATTTGTTTAATCCATCCATAACTTAGGTTACCACCATATATGTTCATGTTCTTCTCTATTTTCTGAGTGCTTTTTCTACAGATTACCCTGTAATTATATTCCTTTAAAGAGACTAAATAAGTGTGCTTTGCCCTTAATTTATATTTAGTGATCGAACACTATTAAAAAATCTATATTAACGGTTAATTGTTGTATAAGTTTGTCTTAATTGATATAAATCTTATTTTAACAAATAACATTAATAATATAAATATTATAAGCATTTGTGAAATAAAATACTTCATACTTTTATATTTATTTAAAGATATTTAATAATTATCAATGTTTATTGAATCAATTTGTATTACATCTAATCTTTATATTTTAAAATTTTGAATTTAAGTAAATTTATAAGAATGATTAATTTTTAATATTATTTTTATTATTTAAAAATTTAAATATAAGACAATCTAAAAATTATATATACAAAAATAGAGAATCACTTTTATAAATAGATATAGATGCATATGCTAACAATATGATGTATATTATACTAATAAAAATGTTTCATTAATAGAAAATAATTATTATTATTATTATTATGCACCCACAACTAAACAAAAATTACACAATTAGCAGTCAAAAATTAATATATATTGTGTATTTTTATTATAACTAACTTAAAATTCATTCCTAATTTAGTTCGTGATTACTTGGTAGTATAAATTGATTTATACGGATAATGCATATACTTTAAACTCATAAAAATTAATATATATCACCTATAAGTTTGATCTTAAGTCGAAAACTCAATACAAAACAAAGTACAAAATTGCTAAAGGAGTGTCATAGAGTAGTATATATGTTATCATGAAGAGTTCAATCTTTAAGTCTGAATGTAGAAAAATATTTAACTGATCAGTCAGACCTTAAATGAAATTCATCATTTCAAAACATTAAACCTTGGCTCCTCGGCTAATGAATACTTTAGGTTCATCCAAATTATAATACTTATACTAATTTAATGTTTTAACTTATTTGAAAAAACAATGTTTATATATAGACGAGATCGATCGATAATCTAACTTTTATATATTTTTTATAGTGGGGGTGATGTATACTTATTTATAAATTATAATGGTGGAAACACACTTACAATCTTACCGTAGACAAGATTTTATCGGAATTCCTTGGTGTTGTCAAACATTGTAAATGGATGGAAAAATTATAACTGTATCCAAATATCCATGAGACTAATTAATAATGGTGTGTGCGAAGTTATTGCATAACTATAGCATGTAATTAAAGGGATAGTTCACGAGATGCCATTACTATATCAGTCTAGTTAATTTCAACTTAAAAATACAATTGGCTCAAACAATCAAAACACATTGAAAAAAACCTCATACTTCAACTTAAAAATGTATTCGGTTCAAACAATCGAATCACACTCAAAAAATCTTGTAGTAACATTAATTTATCACAATTTACTCAAAATTCTAAAAATTCATACATATCCACCTCAATCTTAGAGTAAAAAAATTCAATATCAATTTAATTATTAAATAAATAATAATCATAACATACAACAATAATATAATTCCAATAAGAAATCATACATAAGAGATTTTCCTCAAACAAATAACCTATGAGACTTAGGGTTCGTCCGTCTTCCCTCATCTCTCATACGTGCTCAAGATTTAATAATTCTTCCTCTCCTATCTAGATTGATGAATTTTATAGAATTGTGTCCTTTTGGTAGCTTATGTCATCAAATTGTGTTTTGTCTTGTGGTCTCCTTTATTTCTCCTATTGTGAGTTTTTAGGGTGACAATCCTATCTAACCTTTCTTATTTGAATTAGCCTATGGGTTGGACCCAAAGTCTAGTCCAAATATTTCTAACAAGCTCTCCCTTTTGTTTTATTAATGAAATATATTTTTTTGTTTTTTAATTAATTGTTTATATTAAAAAATAGGACGTTACAATATATAAACAATTATTAATTTATTACTATAACATGTACTTTTCAATCGAATGGAATTTGTTAGAAATAAAAAAATATATATTAATCTCAATTTATGATCTAAGTATTTATGAGATAAAATTGAAAGCATAAACCTTTTTGATATCATTTAAATTACAAGCATTTATTGATATAAATAAAAACATGAAAACTCACTTTTTAAGTCTCATTTACGAAGAAAAAAACTATAAACTATTGGTACCATTAGAAAAAGAGAAAAGTTAACAAATGAGACTATTAGATTTCTCCTTCTTCCATTATTGATTTGTCCAACGACATGATTTTGAGTATTAGCAAGTTGTTGAGAATGAGGTGGAAGCCGAAAACGACAAACAGGACATGAGTTATTGTGAAATAACCATTGACCAATACAATGTGAATGGTAAATGTGATCATATGGCATCTTTTTAGCTTCACAACCCACTCCAAAACTTTCCAAGCAAATTGGACACTGTGAATCAGATTGTGTAATCTTAATAATTAGCATTGCATCAATGGATGATTGTGACACTCTATTTCTATTGTGTTGTTCAACGAGGTCACCCATTGAGGTAGCATTAGATGATGAAGTACGAAGATGTCTTGTGAGTCGAATAGAGAGGGTACAACCAAAACCAAAATATAAGTATATTCCCCTCTATAAGTGACCTATAAAGTTACCAACAACATCTCTAGATACATTTCTTGATTCCATAACACTTAGTATCTCATTAGATTGTCCCAGCAAGCCTTCGTTGCAGTAACGACAAATAGCATCCCTTTCTACAACTTGGATTGGTTGTCTACATGTGTAACACCAATATGTTGCTCCACTTGTCATCCTTTCTCTTTTACTGCATAACAGTTATGTTTTGCAATGTTATTCACTATCTCAATAAATATTTTTTCATAATGACAAAACTTAGGGTTACAATTCTCTAGGAACGAGTATTAGTGTTCTTTAATTAGAATTAAAAAATTTATTTTGATAACAAATAATGTTACTTATCATGTCTATCAAAGATAGTTAGAGATAAATACAAAAATAATGTTATATTTATATATGATGCAAATTTCAATATAATATACATTTACCTATATTATTGAAATAAAATTTTAATTCTTATTAAAAAACAACACCAACTAAACATATGAATGATAAAAGCTAAGTCTTAATTGTCACAATCATAAAACTCGAGTCTCAAAATAAAAATAATGTGAATAGAGAATGAATGTAAAATAATATTCTTTCTTTAAGTTATAATAAACTAATAAGCAAAGCCTTTCATTTGATTTAATCTAAATGATATCATGTTTCAAATTAAAAAAATAATTGTCTTAGGAAAACAAAAATTATGAAGGAGGTCTTACAATAAACACAAAAAATCAAAGCACTGTGAGTGTGACCAATAACTTGTATGTGATTGATGAAAAAAAAATATAATAAAAAAGAGGTAGAATTAAAAAAAATTACTGGTTCGTCATATTGGATAACATAACAAACAGATTTTGTTGTGCATCTTATCATTGATTCAAATGTTTAAATTATTGTTATTATTATCTTTCTATTTTCATTTAGTTGTACAAAACCTTTATATATATGGTTGCTTCTCATTCAATAAAACAAAATCAGAATTATTTATTCCAAACACTTATATGGTATCAGCAGCTTTTGCTTCACAGCAATCTAATCGATCCTCAATCATGTCTTCCCCCAACAACACCATTCCAATATCAGATTCCCAATCTGTTGTAGTTCTCAATAACCATGCAACTGTCAAGCTTAATGGCATGAACTATCCTGCATGGAAAGTACAACTCAATGCCCTTCTTGTAGGGTATGATCTTATTGGCTTTGTTGATGGCCAACTTACGTGCCCAACACCAAATCATCATGATTTCATATATTGGAGGCGCCAGGATCAATTGATTCTTCACGCAATCATCTCCTCAGTTGATTGTGCTTCCAGTAATCCACAATGGCCATGCCCCTCTGCAGGAAGATCTGAGTGGCATCAAAACTCCCCATAGGCCCGGCGGACTCGAACATCGCCTGGTCGGCTGCGCTCAATGACCCCCTCGGAAAAAATTTCTCGGGTGTCAACAAAGCACTCCACAGTGAGTCAATCTCCTCCGACGCGCTCAAGTGCTCCAATCGCATCGGGGCGCCCTCCTGCGCGTAACGGTACGCAAGATAGGGACGTTTTGGAGGCTCCCTCGCCGCAGGTACAGAGGCTGGGACCCCGGAGCTAGGACCTTCCCCACGAGGATCAGCCGAAGTAGCAGCATGACTTTCGAAGTCATGTGCGGTAGCAATACCAAACCAAATACGACGAGTAGTGGGGTCTTGAGCTAAGCCTTGACTAAACCTTGGAAATCTTAATGCCATAATGATTTTCAAATCCTCCTAGCTATTATCCTACTGCAATAATTCTTGCTAAGAAGAATGCCCATGTTGTGGCAATTCCACCTAGAAGGTAATGTGTTACTCCTACAGCACGTCCCTGTACAATGCTCAAGGCTCTAGGCTGAGTAGCAGGAGCAACTTTTAATTTATTATGAGCCCAAACAATGGATTCAATAAGTTCTTGCCAATAACCACGCCCGCTGAATAGAAACATTAAACTAAAAGCCCATATAAAATGGGCACCCAAGAAAAAAAGACCATATGCAGATAATGAAGAACCATAAGACTGAATTACCTGGGATGCCTGCGCCCATAAGAAATCACGGAGCCACCCATTAATGGTAATGGAACTCTGCGCAAAATTGCCTCCTGTGATATGAGTTACTATCCCTTGATCACTTATACTACCCCAAACATCTGACTGCATTTTCCAACTGAAATGGAATATTACTACCGAAATGGAATTGTACATCCAAAATAGTCCTAAGAAGACATGATCCCAAGCGGATACTTGGCATGTCCCCCCTCTTCCAGGTCCATCACAAGGGAAACGAAAACCTAGATTTGCTTTATCCGGTATCAATCGTGAGCTACGAGCAAATAGAACACCCTTTAGAAGTATCAATACTGTTACATGAATTGTAAATGCATGAATATGATGGACCAAAAAATCGGCTGTTCCTAATGGAATCGGTAACAAAGCAACTTTACCGCCCACTGATACTAAATTATCACCTCCCCAAGTCAAACTGGTACTTGTTGTTGCACCGGGGGCCGTTGTGCCTGGTGCTAAAGCATGGGTATTTTGTATCCATTGAGCAAAGACGGGTTGTAATTGTATAGCGGTATCAGAAAACATATCTTGAGGGCGCCCTAAAGCGCTCATGGTATCATTATGAATATACAAACCAAAACTGTGAAAGCCTAAAAATATACATACCCAGTTAAGATGTGATATGATTGCATCGCGATGTCTAAGGACACGATCTAATAGATCGTTGTATCGAATAGTCGGATCATAGTCTCTTACCATAAAAATAGCTGCATGCGCAGCAGCACCAACTATGAGAAATCCACCAATCCACATGTGATGTGTAAACAATGAAAGTTGTGTACCATAGTCAGTAGCTAGGTATGGATAAGGAGGCATAGAATACGTATGGTGAGCTACAACAATGGTCAAAGAGCCTAACGTAGAAAAAATCTTGTTGAAATAGATTTTATTGAAATTACTAAATTTATTATTATTAAAATAGGTGGAAGTCAATTTTGGAGTAATTTACCCCACTACACTAACATCAATTGGAATCATCTCCTTTCATGACAATCATTTTCCATACTCCACCCTCACTAACACCCTTCAACCCAATGACACCCAACAAACGCTCACACCTATACCAGTCCTTAAAATTCAGCATACACCTGAACATAGACCAGCCTATGGCACTGCAACCACCACACATTCTGATCCACCATGTCAAGAGGCACCAGTGACTTCCGCTCCTCCACCAGGTAATCCTTCCCTACCCTCTCTTCCTTCAAATATTTATTCACCTCCTATTGACAATCAGTCTGAGAATTCTACTTCTCAAAATCGGCATCATATGGTCACTCGCTCAAAGAACAACATTCACAAACCAAAAAGAGCCTTCAGTGTCTCAAAACACCCACTCCATGAGAACCTTGAACCATCTACTGTAAGAGAGGCTATGAAATATGATCATTGGAGGCAAGCCATTTCCGCTGAATTTGATGCACTCATACGGAATGGCACATGGTCATTAGTACCACCACCGAAAAGTCATAATATAGTTGACTGTAAATGGATTTTTCGTGTAAAACGAAAATCTAATGGTTCCATAGAAAAATATAAGGCACGTCTTGTTGCAAAGGGGTTCACTCAATGTGCCGGTGTGGACTTCCATGAGACTTTTGCACCAGTGGTGCATCCACAAACAATCAAACCTTAGCTTTGACCAACAAATGGCAGATGCATCAATTGGATGTTAACAACGCCTTTCTACAAGGCAATCTCTCTTAAGAGGTTTTTATGACTCAACCACCAGGTCTTAAAGATAGTCAACATCCGAACTATGTTTGCAAACTTCATAAGGCCATTTATGGGCTTCGCCAAGCACCACGTGCATGGCACGATGCCTTGAAGTCATTCATTACTTCACATGGGTTTATCATGAGCAAGAGTGACCCTTCCTTATTTATTTTTGCAACTGGCAACATAAAAGCTTACTTTCTTGTGTATGTGGATGATTTACTGCTAACTGGAAATAATAATGACTTTCTTCATGGTTTTATTAGTGCTCTCTCTTCCAGGTTTGCACTAAAAAATTTGGGAGCTCCACATTACTTTCTTGGGGTTGAATTCATACCCACCAAATCTGGACTTTTCCTTTCTCAACACAAGTACATTCGTGACCTCTTGGAGAAATTTGACATGGAAGGGGCAAAACCAGCACCAACTCCTCTTTCCCCTTCAGCTACTCTACAACTACATGATGGCACTGCCACTACTGAAGCCACATACTTCTACAAAATAATTGGCGCAGTTCAATATCTTACTTTAACTCGTCCAGATTTGTCATTTTCCATCAATAAACTCTCACAGTTCATGCATAAGCCTACAACTCTTCATCTCTAACATCTCAAGTGCTTACTTAGATATATCAAACACACTATCAACTATGGCATTTCCCTTCAACCATCTTCCTCCTTCCACTTGTTGGCATACACTGATGCAGATTGGAGTGGGAACTTTGATGATAGAACCTCTACATCTGCTTACATCATCTTCTTTGGTGGCAACCCCATCTCATGGTTGTCAAAGAAACAACGAACAGTTGCAAGATCTTCTACAGAAGCAGAATACCGGGCAGTAGCTACTGCCACAACTGAGCTCATGTGGTTGACAAATCTACTCACAGAATTGAATGTTCCCATAGGACGTCCACCTCTCCTTCTTTGTGACAATGTTGGTGCCACGTACCTATGCTCAAACCCAGTACTACACTCAAGAATCAAACATATTTCACTTGACTATCATTTTGTCCGTGAACAAGTTCAAGCTGGAAAGATGTTTGTCTCTCATGTGTCAACCAAGGATCATTTGGCAGATCTGTTAACCAAACCATTAGCAACTACACGATTTCAACAATTAACAGCCAAGATAAAAGTCACAGATGGTGATTTTATCTTGAGAGGGCATATTGGATAACATAACAAACAGATTCTGTTGTACATCTTATCATTGATTCAAATGTTTAAATTATTGTTATTATTATCTTTCTGTTTTCATTCAGTTGTACAAAACCTTTATATATATGGTTGCTTCTCATTCAATAAAACAAAATTAGAATTATTTATTCCAAACACTTATACGTCAAATAACAAATTTTGTTTGCTGTCAATATTGTTCCTCTGTTACACTAAATTTTGTTGGTCAGTGTGTCATGAAAATGATGTGAGATTTTTAGCTAATCATCATTCTTCTATTTATATTGGGAGCTAATTTTTCTCTCCTTATATTCTTGAGAATTCTTATCCTTACTTATGTTGATATAATATTCTTTCTTTAATCAAATATAATATTTATTTAATGATTGAATTCGTAAAAAAAACAAATAGTACAATATCAAATTAATATAATCATAATTAAATATAGATAAAATCATTTTCAAAAAAATATATTATCAATTATATATATTATAAATAAATTATATATATTATAAATAAATAAGTCAAAATCTTTTGATATTAAGTATAAATTTAAAAATTTACACTAAATCTTACTTTTATTTTTATTTTTTTATATAATATAAATTTAATCAATTCAACCAAAATTATGTGATATTATTACACTTAAAACTATGTATATCTTGTATTTTTTAGGAGTATTTTTTTTCCAACAGGGAAAAATTTATAAGAAATTTTTTAACTTCCTATTTAATTTGATTTCTACTTGTCATAATTATTTATGAAATAGATTTTAATATTTTAAAATAAATTATCATCAAATGAAAATAATTTTATACTATAATATAAAATTATTCATTATAAATTTAAAAATTTATAGGCTAAAAACTTATTTTGCTCCCTTATAATAATTGTTTGTTTCAATTTAATCTCACTTTTATTTTTGGTCTCAATTTGGTCCCTCATAAGTCAATTAGTTTCAATTTGAGACTTCCGTCCAAATTATTTAAATGGAGTTAACTATTGGCCACGTGGATGCCACGTGGACTCCAAATTTTGTGAAAACACCTGGAACCAGAACGACCTGTTCCAAAACCAAAACGGGCCGTTCTGAAACCAGAACGGCCTATTCCGAAACCAGAACGGGCCGTTCTGAAACCAGAATGGGCTGTTCTGAAATTAGAACTGGCCGTTCTGGTTTCAGTACGGGTCGTTCTGGATTCAGAACGGACCGTTCCAAGACTGAGAATAGAATATTCCTTATTAATTTTATTAAAAAATATAATAATTTTGAAAAATATTTTTTATGGTAAAAATTTTAAAATTATTTATTTTTATAAAACACAATTGTCTTATAAATAGAGTAATAACTTTTTCTTTTTCTCTTTCTGTCTGAAGAAATATTTAAGTGTCACTTTATAATTTTTTGCAACTTATTTAAAATTAGAGGAATAAAATGAAAAAAATTAATAGGATAAACATAATAAAATTATTAATTTATTTTCTTTTAGTGTCTTCTAAATTTTTGCATTCATTTAAAACAAAACATTTATTATATTAGATATAACTTAGATCTGTCCTTGCATACGGTTGTGGTGAAATGTTAGTCTTGTGTATCATCTTCCTTTACTTCAGGTTCTACCTCTTCAAGAACAAGTTGTTGTTGTTAGGGTATATCGTTAATGACTTCAAGGAAAAATACTATGTCATTTCATCCTTTACTATATAGTGTCAATTTGGTAATAAGTGGTTCAGTCCAGTTTGAAATCAAATAAAATCTGCTATCATTGTCTTTAGTGATACATTGCATTGTCCTTAATAATACACTGTATAGCCTAACTGTTTAGCAATTGAAGTTATCAATTTCCATTTACAATATTACCAAATTCAGTGTTTGAAATGCTTTGTACTTTGGGTCTTTTTCCTTCCATGATTCACAACCGTGAACTATAATCATCGATCGTTAATGCTTAGGAGTCTGGAACCATAACGGCCCGTTCTAGTTGCACTTTTAGTGTGTAAATTTTGCACCTGGAACGGGCCGTTCCGGATGCAAAATTTACACACTAAAAGTGGAACCAGAACGGGTCGTTCTGGTTCCAGGTGTTTTCAAAAAAATGGCATCCACGTGGCATCTACGTGGCATCCACGTGGCCACACATTTAACTCCGTTTAAATAATTTGGACGAAAGTCCCAAATTGAAACCAATTAATTTATTAGGGACCAAATTGAGACCAATTAATTTATTTGGGACCAAATTGAGGCCAAAAATAAAAGTGGGACTAAATTAAAACAAACAATTATTATAAGGGACGAAAATAGGTTTTTAGCCAAAATTATATGTCTAAAAATATCTATTTATACAAATTTTAATATAATTTATGTATTCAAATATGAAATTGATTTGTATATATAATTTATTATATTAGTTATACATTATATATAATGAATATTTAGGTTAAATATTACACAAACTAACTAATTCTTAAATAAGATATAATATAATATAGAGTTTACAAAAAGTAAGTTATGAATGCTAGCATAAAAAATATATTTCTTGACTTAATTATATGGAGTGTAAATGAATTTAGAATTCCCCTAAAAAAAATGAATTTAGAATCACAAAGATTAAATTACAAAAATATATAAAATAAAAAATTTAAGGATCTAATTACATTTTTTTTAGTTTATAATTGTAAATTTTCAAAAAATTTGAAGACTAAATGATGTGTTAAATATTTAATTTATTTTTTTATTTTTAATTTTATATCAAAGTACATCTATTCTCTAAATTACAAAGATTAAAGATACTTTTTTTAATATATAAACCAAAGATAAAATAAAAGTAAAGAAAAGAAATTTTAGGTTTAGAAATTTAAAATAACAACTCCTTTACTTTTAATTTTCTTCACCAAAATAAAAATTATTATTATTTGTTCCTACGTTCTTTCCTCTTGTTGAAATATATGATAAATTTAAATGCAGTCCTAAAAATGGCTTTCCCTCTAAATTTAAACCCCCACGCAAGAGACAACTAAATCGGATTCTCACTCGCGACTTTTGGATCTTTTAAATTTCGCAATCCCGAGCCTGCGAGGGAAAACCAAAACAAAATGCAAAAACAAATCCCCTCCGTCCAAAAAGATCCAACGGTCAACGTCAGCGATCCGCACCCTACCCCTCCAAACCAATCAAATCCCACCGAAAACAACCTATATATACAGCAACACACACCAAATCCCTCTCATCACAAAATCCACAACCTCACGGGCCGTTCCGAATTCAGTACGGGCCGTTCCGGGTTCCATTGGATGCCTATAAATAGGAGGCATGGGGGGTGAAAAATTACAACTGAGAAGGGTGAAGAATTTTAGAGAGAGAAGAAAGAAAGAAAGAAAGAGAGAGAGAGAGAGAAAGAGAGAGAAAGAGAGAAAGAGAGAGAAAGAGAGAAAGAGAAAGAAAGAGAAAGAAAGAGAAGGAAAGAAAGAGGGAATCCAGAGGAGGAGGTCCTGCCCAAGTTCCAGCTCCTGCTTATCCAGGTAAGGGGGGAGTGAGAAACCTCACTCAGGGGTGTGGGGATAATTGTTGGATAGTTGTATTGTCGGATTGGCCCCCAATCCCTTGCCTGTTGTTTTGTTTTACTTTCTGTTTACTCTACTTTGTTCCTTGTTAGAAATAATAAATGAATACGTAATTAATGTTATAAATAAATAAGTTTTAATATGAATAAGAATGCTCTCTATGGATCTCTGTGAATTCCTATGCGGACCTTATGAGGAATAATTATGACATGACCATGTGAAACATGCATCATATGCATCATTTGTGCATATTTCACATGGTCATGTCATAATTATTCCTCATAAGGTCCGTACAGGAATTCACAGAGATCCACAGAGAGCATTCTTATTCATATTAAAACT